TGTTACCCTGGGCTGCTTCCAACTGCAGGCAGATCCCAGAACCTGCCTCAGAAACCACCGATTATGTATAAAGTGCTTGTATGTATGTGTGGATGTATGCATGAATCCATGTATTTAGCTTAACACATTTTTACTATTACTGATTAGTCTATCAAAGGAATCCTAAACCATAATTTCCAGTGTGGGGTTGACATTATTTCTTGCCCTAATCTACGTAGAATATACTTCCTCACTCAGGTGTTCTGACTTTTCAGATTCCAATTCCAATAAAAACAATTTCACGTAGACCTAAACCCTTAACTTTCTTTTCAAGAGCAATTGGCCTTTCAACTTTAACCATGGCAACTTCAAGCCGTGTTGCTTATTTGATGTTTATGTACTTTATTTGTTCTAGGACTGAACAGGAAAAAATGCTTGCAGTGCTAGTTTTTCTGTGATTTGCCTACGCAGTTGGAAAGCCTACCTGATTTGGAAACCCTGGATTAAGAAATTCCTTTGAGTAAAATTGCTAACTTTGTTTGTATATGTTGTTACAGGAGCTTTATTGCAGAAATGACCATTTATATCAAGCCACTGGGCAGAAGTAAGTGTTCCTGCTTCTTTGCTGTACCGCGTTTTTACATTAAAGTCTTGGGCTTACAGCTATGTACTCGAGATAGATATATACAACAGTGTTTTAAGTAAAGCTAGCGAATGAAATTTAGAAAAGACACGATTGGTGGCCTCGGAGGTATTCATAAAGGAGGTAAGACAGCCAAGGAACAACAGTGTTAAACATGGAAGGAACTAGCGCACCTGACTGGTTTGCCTCTTACAAGTTTTGCAACTTTGAAAACAACGAAACTTATATCACTAGTTCTCAGTTTACTTATCTTCCAGTTGAGAGAAATTGCATAAGATTCGTTTCAACATGAGAATTCTGTAATTAACGTGAACAATTTTAGGTTAAATGTATGAAAGACTCAAACCGTTGAATGGTTCACTAAAAGATACTGTTGAGTTTTCTATTCTAGACACTAAAAATTAGTTGCAGGATGTTTAAATATAGATGATAAATAGTTAACATCTGGCAGCCCATTGATCTTATCAGAATTATTATGGCTGGGTTGACTGATTAAGATAACGGCATTTTTGTACTATCTAATCACCTCCCCAAGGAGTCCATGTATTACATTGGGTTACTCATTAGCCTGCTAACCATAGCAGTTCGTACCCACCAGCCCCTCTGAAGGAGAAAGAAGAGGCTTTCTGCTGCCGTCCTGTAAAGATTGCTGTCTCAGAAAGCCGTTAAGGGCAGGGTCTTTATGAGCGGCAATCAGAACTAGTATGGTAGAACAGCCATGAGGCAGGCATTTCCATTACAGATGAGCATCATTGGAGTGAAAGAATGGTAGCAGGCATCAAGCAAGTCTAAAACCCAGTAGAACAAATTACATTAGTTCTCAAGTCTGAAAACAATCTGGGCAGTGGCACTGTCTTCCAGACTCTGCGTGGAGGTCCTTTAGTCATGCGTTTCCAATTTGCCTTCAAAGCCCGTTGGAGCAATAGTGATGCTCCCATAGCAGCCATCTTCTCTTAGCCCAACTGAGTAGGAATCTCAGCTTTTAATTGTTTAACGTGTTTCACTTTGTCTAAGTTTATATCTTCTTGCATTTTACTATAACTAGCGAGAAGCCGCCATACAACCCTTTTAAGAACTCGCTTAGAAATCTCCCCACCCAGGTATCTAAGCCCATCACCTAAAAGTTTACCTTCCACCAAACATTTGAACAAAATTCAGACGAGTCTTTTGTCACTTCATAAACAACATTACATCTCCTTGGTTTTAATTACATGTCTATTTGTTTAAGGCCTCATTAGAAGCTAACATTCTGCTGCAGGCACCATATGTTATAGTCTATAAGACTCTATAGTTGGCTGCACTTTCGGAACATTTATCAGAATGCCTTTTGATAATCATAGTTCTTCAACAAGGTCTTTATGATAATCTAGGCTTTTATTGTTAGGGCCCATAAAACTTCCCAGGACCCGTAAAACTTCCCAGCCTCAAACAATTCCAAAGTTGCGTCTTTCTTTTAGGTTACTGTTACAATAGCAGTCCCACTTTGCTGTATAAATTCTTGTTACCTATCTTTAGTTGCCTAGTGCTGCTATTACTGAAATTCCAAAAGTTGTGATTCAATCCATAACAGCAACTAGTTCAAAGGGGATTTAACCAGAACCTCTAGTTTGTGAGATACTGTTTTATTCCAAATTTATCCTTCAGCCTTTGGTAATTCTCATCTTATATCATAGGGATTTTTGCACGTGAACATGGATCAAATAAGAAATTGGCAGCCCAGTCTTGTGCCCTGTCACTTGTGAGGCAGCTCTACCATCTTGAAGTGATTGAAGCTTACTCTGGACTTACAAAGAAGAAAGAGGGAGAGACAGTGAGTCTAAAATACTTTGTTCAAGAGCAGTGAGCATATAATCATTATTCGTGTGCTAGATCAGTAGTTCTCAACCTTCCTAATGCCTCATGTTGTGGTGACCACGCCCCCAACCAAAAAAATTTCTTTTCATTGCTACTCCATAACTATAATTTTGCTACTGTCAAGAATCTGGCGACCCCTGTGAAAGGATCGTTTGACCCCCAAAGGGGTTGCAACCCACAGGTTGAGACTGCTGCGTTAGATAGAACTGACTTATTGTTGGCTATAGGAATATTCCAGACCCCATGTTGACTGCGTTCTCTTAATATGAGTAGATTTGAGTAATGTTCATATGTCTGTAACATGATTTGTATGATCATTCTTAGGTGGAACCCTACAAAGTTAATATCTCTCAGGATTTGGAGCATCAGCTGCAAAATGTCGTTCAAGAGCTCAATCTTGAGATTGCACCACCAGTAAGTATATAACTATTTGGTTTGCCTTTGAATTTAATTTCTCTGTCCAGACAAGCAGCTCTTCACAGTTTTTGTTTGTTTACAACAGCCCGAGGATCCTTCTGTTCCAGCTGTGCTTAACATGGGTAAATTGTCCACATTTGAGCCGGCTCAGCAACAAAATCAAGTGGGTGTGGTTCCTTGGTCACCTCCACAATCCAACTGGAATCCTTGGACTAGCAGCAACATTGATGAGGGCCCTTTGGCTTATGTGAGTGTATCATTGTTCTTGAAACCAGGCTCTTGTGCATTACACTCAAACTTAACTTTATTTGCATGTTTAAGTTTAATAAGAAAGTCTAATTTGAAGCTGAGTTAATGTTCTTTTGTTCAACTTGTCTTTCCGATTTTCTAGGCTACTCCAGAACAGATAAGCACAGACCTCAAGAATGAATTAATGTACCAGCTGGAACAGGATCGTAATCTGCAAGGAGTAAGCTTGTGAAATACGTACACAGCTCCCAGCTTCAGAACTTTATATGAATGGGCAAAAGGACCATGAATTAGTGCATTTTGGTGTTTTAGTTCTGGGAGGATAAAAATGGGTCAAACTGCTTCATCTAGTTAACTTCTGAGCTAGTTGTAAATTTAAGGGCCCGGGAAGATTTTTCCATTCTAACTTTTCTGGAGGGGCAGGGATTGTTAAAATGTGAGAAGAGAATACATAGGAGTGCTTTGCAAGAATAGTGAAAAATAGGGTATGGACAAAGTCATAAGCGTGCTTAGAAATTGAATTTCTGGAAAAGATTATTTAGAAACTTAGTGTAAAGAAATAGTTCGATCAGAGATGTAAATATACATGTAATTTTTAAAAAAAATTTTATACATTTGGGTACTCAGCTAATAGAGGACTAAGTTCTTTCAGAGATAATGCTCTCCCTCCTATCCCTCCCCACTCCACCCCACCCAAAGAACGATAGGATTAAAATAGTTGCTTCTTAATGTGTGTTGGAGACACTTGTCCGAGTAACTTTTCTCCTACAGATCTTGCAGGAAAGAGAATTACTCCCTGTGAAGAAATTTGAAAGCGAAATCCTGGATGCTGTTAGTCAGAATTCAGTTGTGATTATACGAGGAGCTACTGGTTGTGGTAAGACCACCCAGGTTCCTCAGTTCATTCTGGATGACTTTATCCACAATGACCGAGCAGCCGAGTGCAACATTGTAGTAACTCAGGTAAGTAGCAAGCTAGCTATCAGGTGTATCTCCTGTGGATCGTTTGAGAAGTGTGGAAATGCCTAGCGGGTGGACTAGTCCTAATTTAACTTTGGTCAGCTCTTTGTAGTCACTTGGATTGTAGCCAAACAGTAGAGGATTTGCCTCTTTAAAATTTAAAGGAGCAGGGGAAGCAAAAGCAAGTTAAATTTCATTCTTGTCTAGTATCCTCTGATAGGCAAACTGGACCGTGAAGTGCAGGATTGTTTTTGCCTGGACTTCAAGAAGGTTTCGGCTTAGAATTAGAAAAGATTTGAGTGTTCTTTGAGTTCTTATCAAAACTTAATCCTACCTTAATAATGAGTAAGAACCAGTCTAAGCTGAGTTGAAAAGGAAAATATTCTGTTGGAATGGAAGAAGAGTATCATCTCTTGCTGTTTTCACCAATTCTTTATAATTAGTTTCATGAACATCTGTTACCGTGTGTGGGCCAGCAGAATGATTCCTAGGATTTTTAATGGCAGCTTTTTCTGAAATGTATTAACAGGTCTTATTTCAGGGTGGACTCCAGCTTTTAGATCACTAGGGGACTCCTATGTTACTTTTAGCATATTCAAATTCAACATAAAGTTTAAAAAGGTAGAATGATTGGATTGGGAGGGCATTTGTTTGGCTTAAGGCAAATGTCTTCAGGTAAAATGACTTCTCTGAGCTTACATTTTTAATCACTCAGAATGGAAAAATACTTGTCACCATTGCCCTGGAGCACAAATAAAATAGTATCTGTAACTCATAGTGACCCAATAGGGTGTAATAGAACTGCCCCTGTGGGTTTACAAGACTAATAACTTTCCAGAACTCTCCTTAGGAGCAGCTGGTGGTTTCAAACAGCTGACCTTGTGGTTAGCAGCAACCCATAGGGTCGCTGTGAGTCATAATGGACTCGTTAACAGTGATTTGGGGCTTTTTGGTTGTTTGCTTGTTTTTTAAAGCAACTATAGATTTTACCATTGTTAAACTGAACCCTAATCAAAAAACAAAATTCCTGCCATGGAATTGATTCCAACTCATTGCAACACTTAGGACAGGGTAGAACTGAACTGACCCCCGTGGGTTTTCAAGACTAACTTGTTAAAGAAGTAGAAGCCTTGTCTTTTCCCCTAAGAGCAGCTGGTGTTCAAACTGTCGACCTTGTAGTTAGTTAGCCCAGTGCAATAAGTACCACATCTCCAGGGCTCCTTAACCAAAATCATAGCCTAATCAAATTATATGAATCATCACAATCTACTCTTTCATAAACTGACATCTTTATACATCTTATTAAACCATACATAATTGCCAAGTAAAGCAACTATATGGTCATAACATACAATCCAAGACACACTTTACCTCTGCATCCTAAATTTTATAATAAATAAAAAAGACTTGGTGATGAAACAGATGAATGTACTTGTTGATTTAAACCCACTCAGTGGTCCTAGATAACACAATGGGATAAGAGAGCCTGGGTGATACAAACAGCCAGAAGTGTGGCTTTTCAAATCTAAGAAAAGTTTCAGGGTCAGGCCTTGATATCTGCTACCAAGAGACCTCAGGCTCAGAAACCTTATGGTGGGGCAGTTCCCTGACACATGGAGTTGCCTTAAGATGGAATCAGTTTGGTGGCAGATGTTAGTGGAGAGAAATAGTTAAGCCATACATGAAAAGGAAGCTCTGCAGGTAATAAAGAATACATGAGCCTTGTGGGGGGGGGGGGGGGGGGGGGGGAGCAGTTATTGAAGAGATAAGTAGAACAGCTCCATAGGCGATGACATGGAGTGTATTATAAACCTTTATCCATAGTCCTATATTTCCATCTTCTCTCAAGCAGGATCCTCTCCAAAAGTTACCATTCCTTATGTGTGGTGTACATTATGTCTGTAGTGGCTAATAAAAATGTGGCTAGATGATTATTTGCTTTAACCATATTTGTCACTAGTCCCATGGCCTAAGGCAGTGGTTCTCAACCTGTGGGGTTCTGCAACCTCTTTGGGGTTCGAACAACCCTTTCACAGGGGTCACCCGATTCATAACAGCAAAGTTACAGTTGTGAAGTAGCAATGAAAATAATTGTATAGTTGTGGGTTCCCCCTCCCCCCATGGGGACCTGTATTAAAGGGTCACGGTATTAGGAAGGTTGAGAACCAGTGATGTAGAGTACAGTGAACCCTCGCCACTTCGCGCTTCGACTTCCGCGGCTTTACTCTATCGCGGTTTTTGCATAACAGCGCATGCTCTGTCATTACTGCCACTGATTGGCTCATACTGTACACGCTTGATGCCATAAATATAATAAATAATAAATGATAATTGTAACGTCCAAAATGTTTTACTGTATTTTCCCTTTTTCGTTTAATAAATTGGGTAATACGAGTGTTATGGTGACTAAAGGGTGTTTTTTCATGTCCTCTATGCTCTAACTATGAAAATATTTGATTTACAAATAAGGAATCCTACTTCGCAGAATTTCATTTATCACGGCAGGGTCTAGAACCGATTAACCACGATAAACAAGGGTTCATTGTATACTCGCAATTTAGAAAAATGAATGTTTCCCATGTGCTGTAGATTTCTGGTGGGAACAAGTTCTATATTCTGTTAGCCACTGTAAGGTCATCAAAAGCAGAGTAGCCTTAGTTAGCTAGCTCCAGGGTTTTCTGTGACACCCAAGAGGAAAAGTGCAACAAATATTTGATTTATGAATGAGTTAGTCGATAGGTAATAGTTGAGCATAGCAGACACAGCAAAGAAGGAAATTTTTCACCTTCCTGATTTCGTAAATCTGTTTTCTTAAGGTATCTTTTGAGTGTAGCAGACAGTAACAAGCTTCCCAGTGATGCCTTTTCCCTTGTGTACTACTATGGAAAATCAGTGTAGAATGTCCTTCAATGTTTGGGTCATTGGCAAAAATTTGTAGACTTTTAAAATTATTTTTATTCTAGGTTTTAAAAAAGCCATAGAATCATTAAATTAAATGTAGTGGGTTTTTATTATTTTTAATTCAATGATTTTTTTTTTTTAAACTGCCATAGAATTTGTTGGTAATTTTTGTTCCAGGGCTCTTATAATTTGGCTCTCTTTAAAGCCTTGATCGTTGCTGCTCATTCTTTTGTTCATTACTGAACTGGCAAAGGAATAGGTAAATGATACTAGCAATAACTACTAGTGTGATGTTGATTTTGTGAATTTTTAATCACTTTTTTCTTATCACAGCCCAGGAGAATCAGTGCTGTGTCTGTGGCAGAACGGGTTGCATATGAGAGAGGAGAAGAGCCTGGAAAAAGCTGTGGCTACAGTGTTCGATTTGAGTCTATACTTCCCCGCCCTCATGCCAGTATAATGTTTTGTACTGTAGGTCAGTGGTGTGTTTTGTTTCGGGCTACCATTTGGGATTTGTGTTGTGTTCATGTGGAGGATTTGGTTTTGCTCAAAAGGGCCAGTTTGATAATTCTTGTTTGTAGAGAGCTTTTGACAGTTAATTTTGTTGGTGGAATGTATAATGTATCTACTGAAAATCACTCTGAGGAGTAGAGATGATGTTTTTTAATAGCCCTGGTGGTGCAATAGTTAAGCACTTAGCCACTAACCAAAACTGTCAGCAGTACAAGCCCACTGCTGATCTGTGGGTGAAAAGACTTATCAGTCTTCTGAAAAAAGGTGAGCTTATAAGAAACATGGTGTGGTAGGGTCACTGTGAGTCAACTGCACGCAACAACGCAACATGTCTTTTAATACTATTTTCA